ATCTTATTCCTCGGTTAGTTGTAACACCTGGATTTACATTAATAAAGCACAAACTCACTTTAAATTGTGCAAAATGTATTTTCTTCCTAAAGATTTTAAACAAATCAAAATGACCAAATAAACACCCAGAAGAGATGGATTTTATTATTTATTTATTAGTAGTTTTTGTGTTTTAATTCCAAAACCAGTTCTGACCTGAGAAATATTGTTTTAATTCACATTTGACACATTTTCTTCATTTAAATTCAGTTTTTATCTAAGTTCTTCCTTTAAATGTGGTTAAAGCTGCAACAAACCTGTACAGATGCAACGTCTGCTGCAGGAATTCTGGAAGTCTTTCGTTAGAGGGATAATTAGAATTCCAGGAAGCATTATTCTGGTTCTAATTTTAGTACACGGATACTCTGTTGTCATTTTCACTTGAAAAAACCCAAGAGAGTACTTCAGGTCATGAAGGTTTTTGTAGAAATAGAATAAAGAATAAACGTAAAAGAGGAAAAGAATCTTTCTGACTGATTTTCCAGGAAGGAGGAGGGAGAAAAAGTCGGAATGATGAGGATTATTTACAGGAGGATGAATCAGATTTAATCGGGAAACTCTGACAAACACCACGCTTAATAAACCAGCATAAATAAATGTAATAAACTTGAAATCATCATGTGACCTGGCCGTGGGCGGGGCCTATGTGTGGCTACTGTAAAACAAGGCTGCGAGGTCATCCCACCCCCACCTGCGGCCCCTCAGACTTCACGGAGGGACGGTTTGTGTCCCGTTCTGCACGTAGCCCGGTTCCCACGCCAGAACCAGTCAAATGGATCTCTGCAGTGACCCACATCACAGAACTGACCCGCCATCAGCTGACTGGTGGAAACATGTGAGAGGTTTCCAGGAAACCACAGGGGCCCAGACGTAAACGAAGGCTCTGATTGGTCAGGAGTCAATTATTCCAACTGGGAACGCTGAGTAGCAGCAGGAAGTCGGGTCAGGTGTTACAGTAAAGGTGAAACAAAGAGACGCCTCAGAAGGTTGAACTAACGTGGAAACGACCTACAGCAATGTGACAGAAGTCACACCGAGACCAGGAATAGGGTTCAGTCCCAGGGAATTCCCACCTGTTTGCTACTGGATGCAGCGGGAAGTCTGACGTCAGTTACTGCCAGAGAGGAAAACTCACTAAATCCTGATTATTCCATCAGCTGAACTCCAACCGGAGGAGTCTTAGTCTCCGTACTAAATCCTGATCAGAAAACAAAGTCAAAGGTTGTTTTTGCTGCAGATTAAAGCGCCGAAGTTTCATCAAATCAAAGTTTAAAGTTTGTTTAATAAAAGCATCCAAAACATTTCAGGAAAGAATCATCCGAATCGTCTACGGAGTCGGGCAGAAACCAGAACCTGTTACTGAGGGGGTGGCTTTAATCCGCTGTAGCTTCAGAACCCGGTTCAGGATCTGGTCCAGGATCTGATCCAGGATCTAGTCTAGGACCTGGTCCAGGATCTGATCCAGGATCTCGTCTAGGATCTGGTCCAGGATCTAGTCTAGTATCTAGTCTAGGATCTGGTCTAGGATCTGGTCCATAATCTGGTCCAGGATCTGGTCAAGAATCTAGTCTAGGATCAAGTCCAGGATCTAGTCTAGGATCTAGTCTAGGATCTGGTCCAGGATCTGGTCTAGAATCTAGTCTAGGATCTGGTCCAGGATCTAGTCCAGGATCTGGTCCAGGATCTGATCCAGGATCTAGTCTAGGATCAAGTCTAGGATATGGTCCAGGATCTAGTCTAGGATCTGGTCCAGGATCTGTTCTAGGATCTAGACTAGGACCTGGTCCAGGATCTGGTCTAGGATCTAGTGTAGGATCTGGTCCAGTATCTAGTCTAGGATCTGGTCCAGAATCTGGTCCAGGATCTGGTCTAGGATCTAGTCTAGGATGTGGTCCAGGATCTAGTCTAGGATCTGGTCCAGGATCTAGTCTAGGATCTGGTCCAGGATCTGTTCTAGGATCTAGACTAGGATCTGGTCCAGGATCTGGTCTAGGATCTAGTCTAGGATCTGACCCAGGATCTAGTCTAGGATCTGGTCTAGGATCTGGTCCAGAATCTGGTCCAGGATCTGGTCTAGGATCTAGTCTAGGATGTGGTCCAGGATCTAGTCTAGGATCTGGTCCAGGATCTAGTCTAGGATCTGGTCTAGCATCTGGTCCATAATCTGGTCCAGGATCTGGTCCAGGATCTAGTCTAGGATCTGGTCCATAATCTGGTCCAGGATCTGGTCTAGGATCTAGTCTAGGATCTGGTCCAGGATCTAGTCTAGGATCTGGTCTACGATCTGGTCCATAATCTGGTCCAGGATCTGGTCCATAATCTGGTCCAGGATCTGGTCCAGGATCTAGTCTAGGATCTGGTCTAGGATCTGGTCCATAATCTGGTCCAGGATCTGGTCCAGGATCTAGTCTAGGATCTGGTCTAGGATCTGGTCCAGGATCTGGTCTAGGATCTAGTCTAGGATCTGGTCCAGGATCTAGTCTAGGATCTGGTCTATGATCTGGCCGATAATCTGGTCCAGGATCTGGTCTAGGATCTAGTCTAGGATCTGGTCCAGGATCTGATCCTGGATCTAGTCTAGGATCTGGTCTACGATCTGGTCCATAATCTGGTCCAGGATCTAGTCCAGGATCTAGTCTAGGATCTGGTCCAGGATCTAGTCTAGGATCTGGTCTACGATCTGGTCTCTGTGATACTGATGCATCTCCTGGGTGTCGTCGGCCCAGACTCTCGGAGCGACGGTTCCCATGGCTCGTGTTCATGTAATCCTTGTTTATTTTTAAAACGTACCTTCTGAAGAATTTGAAGCATCTTTTTAGGAGTGAAGAGGCCTCACCAGCTGATTGGTTGGTTCTGTCACAGAGAAGTACAGTACGCTGGCGGGATTTCCAGCAGAAACGTTCTCCAGATGCTTCTGATTCTTTCTGCTGAAGGTCACATGGAGACGAAGGGACCGGAATTAGTCTCGGGAATTTCAAACATGCAGGAGGAGACGAGTTTCACCTGCAGGTAGCAGGTGTTTATTCTGAAACAGAAAAAGATGTGGGAAGAATCTGGAGAATGTCACACCTTCACAATAAAAGCATGTTGACTCCTTTGGCTTTATTAAAGGTTCACACAGCTGTGATTAAACCCTGAAACATTTTGAGTCATCACATTTCCATGTTGAACGGGATTAATCAGCTTCAGATGAACGTGTGAAATCGGAAGTTTTCATTAGATCTGGAGCTGTCAGGACAAACATGGATGGATGTTTTTACTTTTAATTCTCCTTCTTCTGAAACATCAGACGATGCTGCAGAGAAAAAGTTAAAATATGGTTTTGGGTTCATTCCAGTCTCACCTGTTCTCCCTCCAGTCCAACAGGTGGCAGTAATGCGCTGAGCTTGAAGCATTTGTCTTCAGGAATTTGTCTCAATCGGAGTTTTTCTATGTTTTATCAAGTTTCTAAATCAGGATATGAGCGGAATCAGCATCCATGTTGGATTTAAGCAGTAACCCTCAGACCTGGCTGCATCTTCACTTAGGCTCCGCCCACATATTTACAAGTCAGAACACAGGTGTGATTCATGTGTTTAATATTTTCACCTGAGTTCCCCTCTGCAGCAGAGCATCAATCAGAAATCCTGTGAATGCTTCCAGGAGCGGCTCCACCCTCCGTCTGGGCCAGAACCAGGGTTCTGCACATTCCAGAAATGGGAACTGGCCTGTTGTTAATGGAGCCACCGAGGCATGAACGCATCTCAGACAATACCAAAGCCCTGGCTGCCCGGCCCGGCACCTCTGAGCAGAACCTCATTAGCAGGTTCTGAGTGAAGCTCCGCTTACCAGGAAACCCGGCTTCATGGGAATAACATCACGTACTTGAGCAGAATTCCGATTTGATCCAAAACGTTTGAAACAAAAAAGGTTTCAGATGATTTTAGATGTTGGAGCTGAAGCCTGAAAACCAGAGGCTGTTTCACCAATCAGGAATTAACAAATGTTGGTCGGATCGTCGGGATCTTGTGACCCTCTGGAGTTCCACCAACCGGCTCCAAGCGGCTCCAAGCGGAGGCCCCAGAAAGTGAAACCAGCTGATTCATCAAAGCTGCAGCAACGTGGAAAAGTTGTTTTTCCTCCGAGCTTCATGTAGAACCAGAACAAACCAGCAGCTTCGGACGTTAGATCCGACACCAAGTCAGAACCTTCTGGACAGGAACAGGAAGTTCCAGACCTGTCTGCTAAACAGACGGAAAACGTCAGATTTACAATGTTTATGTGGCATTTCACTTGTAATTAATGGTAAAATATTCATCTACAAATGAACTCGTTTCTATAAAGTTGGACTAGTTTCTGTAAGTCGTCACAAAGCTTGTAACTGATTTCATCCAAACCGCAGAACCTACAGGTGGAAACATTTCTCAAACTTCCTGTTGGACAACAGAAATGTGGTCAAGAGGAAATATTGTTACAAGATGGCCGAACTAATTCAGGGTTGATGTTACTTAAGTTTGGTTTAAATTCTAATGTAAAAACTTTAGGAGCCCAGAGAGGATCCGAGAGCGAGAGGGACTCCATCTCCGGGTTTTACTCCCGTTTCTCCTCAGCAACAAGAGATGAAACTAAACAAAGTTCATTTCCTGTTTGACTTCCTGACTCAGATCCTGAAGCTTCAGTTTTAATCAGACGATTCAACATAATAAAAGAAGCTCCTTTCGTCTCCTGTGTGGAGTTTCTTTTTGTTGTTTGGATCAATTTGCTCAGAAACTGTAAGAAAATATGTACATTTAAGCGATTTCGCATCATTTTCAAGTAAACAAGAAAAAACTTAAAGGAATTTAGAAAAGCTGGCGTTCGGATCGAGTCTCTTTTATCATCATTTGATCTGATCGGCCTTCGGCTGCTGGTTTTATTCTACCCAAACTAAAATCTGTTTACCTTCATGCTCATAATTCACGCGTTAAATCTGAACGTCACCAATGACGCTGATGTCGATTAGAGGTAAAACCAACTGTTTACTGTCAGCCGCGTTATGACATCAGGTGGAGATCACTGCTGAGTTTTATCTGATCCGAGGAGGAAAAAGACAAAGTTTATAACAAAAACGCGTCAGAACATTTCTTATTTCTTCTGCTGAGCAGTTCATCAGGGACACCTGTTCAGTTATCAGCCAATCAGACGGCAGCGCCTGCTGAAGATTAAACTGAGCATCAGAGCTGAGAAGGGACTGTGCACATGCATGGGTGTTGGTACCAGACTGGTCTGATCTACTGGGATTGGAAACCAGAACCATCTAGGGTTCTGGGTTCAGCAGAAGACCACACCAGGTATCACCTGTCAGCTAAGAACAGGAAACTGAGGCTACAATTCCCACAGGATCACCAGAACTGGACTGGAGAACCCTCTCCTGGTCCGAGTCTGGATTTCAGCTGCATCCCAACCCTAACCTGTCCTCTGGATCAGCAGCATCATGGTCACAAGCTCAGATCATCTCTATCTGGTTTCTAGAACATGAGATCACTGGACTCCCAACGGCCTCCACAGTCACCAGATCTAGTCCAGTCCAGAACCTTTGGGATGCGGTGGTGCAGGAGGTTCTCATCGTGTCAGGATGGACCAGAACCTCCGAGGAACATCTTGTTGCATAAAGGCCAAATCGAGGTTTTAGGGGATTCTGAAGACAGAGGGAACCGAGCTGGTGCATTTTATTTAGTTTTATTCATCTTTAAAGTTTAAATAAAGCAGTGAGTTAAACTAAACTTGTGTTTTCTTTAGATTTCTGATCCACTACCGTGTTTATTTAAGGTGGAATTCCCACATTCGGTTTATTTCCAGCCTGCATGAGGATAATTTCAGCTGGTGACTCACAGCTGGATCCTGAAGCATGTCAAACATGCAAACTTCTTCATTCCGGAGGTGCTTTTCAGTGTTGAGCAACACGAACAATCAGCGGGAGTGGCTTCTCGTGGGCGTTCCTGCAACCTGAGCTCAGAAGGTCTATAAAAACCAGAACCCGGAGGGTTTCCGCCAGAATCCACTGACAGAGACTCGAACGCAGACATCAGTGAGACCGCAGAGGAACATGTACTCACGCTCCACCAGCACGACCCTGACGGTTCAGCAGGAGAGGTTCGCCTTCTCCGGAACCACAACCCGCAGCACAGAACCAGAGGTCTTCACCTTCGAGCGGGTCCCGGTCCAGGCAACCGCCGTGCGCTCCTACGTGCCGGTCCGGCCCAAGAAGCGCTGCTCCCGGGTCATGTACCCCGCCAAGGTGCGCATGCACCTCCCGCCACCAGAGAGGAGCCAGGCCAAGCGCTGGCTGGTCATCCTGTGCCTGGTGGTCCTGTGGCAGATCTACACCGAGGATCCGTGCGTCGACGCGCCGCTGGCAGCTGCAGACGGGTCCGTCAGAGAGTGCCAGGGCCTCTCCTTCCAATCCGCAGAGGAGCAGGCTCGGCAGCTCTCAGAGCTCAGCACCGGCCCCGACGCACCGCGCAGCTGTGATGACTCCGGCTCGTCCAGAGAGATGATCCCAACCTCCGCCTGCCTGAAGTCCGGTCCGGACTCCGACACTAGCCACGCGTTCGAGCAGAGCGCCGGGCAGAGCATGGTGGCCCTGCTGGTCTACCACAGACTGGGGAAAGACAACTGAGCCCCCCCCGGAACTGGGAAAGCAGAAACCCGCCCGTGTGTGGGCTCTGGGATCAGAACTGAGCCGAAGGTGGTACCGAGCACCTCCAAACGCAGCGGTGCGCCCTGCGCGGTGCACCCGGGGAGGAGGCTCCAGGCCCGGGCTTGGCCCTGCCAGCAGTCACCCTCAGCACGGAGGAGGCGGAGCGGCTGGAGACGAACTGTGAACGAAAACTTGAACTTTAGAAAACTTGAACTGAATCAAAGACTCTAAGTGCACTAAAGCCCCGAACAAGAGGAAGTTTGTGTCTGGCATGTAGGCGGAAGGCCTGAAGCTGACCATGTATTCCTGTGACTGTCTACATCTTTTTATTGGATTATTTATTTTATTTGCTATTTATTTAATATTTGCAATAAAAAACTTAAATTGACTTCTTGTTTCCTGCTTCTTCTCTCAAGGGTCTGGGGGGAATTTTAGTTCTTGCAGTTTTAGTTTGCAACGTGTTGAAGTTCTGGAGCATCATCAGCTCTAAACGCACCTGGCCTGTTTAACTCCGGGAACTTTCCGTGGGGAAGCATGGGGCTGCTGGTCAGGCTTTAGTTTGCAATAAAAATCTAATTTATTGAACTCATCTTTACCAACATTGAAAACATTTTAACCAGGTCACCCTGTTACATTAATATATCAGTTATTACTTTATATTTGTGCAGATGAATCCCCAATCAGGATTTGCTTCATAATTTCTCAAATCTGCTCAAAAACACAAATTTGTGAAGGAATATTTTTTTTTATTTGTGAATGTTCTGTATTTATACAGCACCTTCTTAGGGTTCAACCCCCCCATGGTGCTTCACAACACAATCAGTCACCCATTCACACCCTGGTGGTGAGGAGCTACAGTGTAGCCACAGCTGCCCTGGGGCACACTGCCACCGGTCCCCCTTGACCACCGGTGTCTTGCCCAAGGACACAACAGCAGCATTCTCATTTCATTTATGAAGCCCCCTCTTAAGAGGCCGGTGCATCGAAACCGGGTAAAATTTGCTAATCCTGAAATGCCTTGACAAAAAAATGGGTCTTAAGGCGAGTCTTAAAAAACCCCAATGAGGGTGACTGACGCACCACCAAAGGCAACTGGTTCCAAAGTGCAGGTGCCAACACAGACCACACACGGTCTCCCCGCGACCTGCACTCAGTGCGTGGAACGATCAACAGCTCCCTGCCGGCTGAGCGAGGGGGCATGTCTATGCAAAAGGTTGCCAAGATATGCTGGAGCATTTCCTTGTAAGGCCCTGTATGCCAGCACCAAGACCTTGAATTTTGCCCGGTATTGCACAGGCAGCCAGTGAAGGGATGCCAACACAGGGGTGATATGTTCCCTGTGCCTAGTGCCTCTCTGGTTGAAGCCGGGGTCGAACCTGCAACCTTCTGATTACTGGACAGCGCACTCGCTTTATCGGATCATTTTAATTCCCCTTTGGTGGAAAATGGTTTTCCTATAATTGAGAATAAACCAGAAGTGAAGAAACTTCCTGTTCAAATAAAGGATTATATATATATATATATATATATATATATATATATATATATATATATATATATATTCAGAAGACATTAAATCCTCTTCACGTTTCCTTTGGCTGCCACCCTTCAGACAAAAATATCCTGAATCCAAACATCCATTCTGAGGATTCCCAGACATTCCAGGCTTGCAGACACTTTCCCTTTTAACGTCTCTTGATGTCTGAGCTGGACGAGGAGCTCTGCTGAGTCACGATCTGCTGCAGCCTTGGGTTACCTCACAGCTGCATGGAGCCATGAGTAGCAACAGAAATATTATCGTAATGATTAATATGCAGCAAGTCATCGGCGTTGCACACAACAGAGCATTATTCACGCTGCAGGTGCATTACCTCATGAGGACCTGTCCCCTATAGGGACGAGGAGACCTGCTGATGTTGATGTTGATGCTGGAGGTTGCCATGAGGACAAGAGCAGGTCCCATCACCTCCGGGTAATCCCACAGGTATGAGCAGCAGGTGAGAAAAGCATCAAGTGTTCATAAATACACAAAACACAGATTTCTGATTCCAAAATAAAAGCTAGACTTTAATTAAACACAAATATGAATAAAACAATCTCTGGGTCACAGTTATGACATCATAATAATGAGACAGGATGTCATAACTGAGACTTAATCAGCATGTTTATGGAAATGAGCTTCAGTTTGTCCAAAGAAAGACATTTAAATGTTCTCCTTTTCGTTGTTGTCTTTAGACACCTTCAATCAGTCGTCTTCATCTTCATCGTCTCCTCTTCAGTGTGAGAATGAGAGCAAATAGAGCTTAACACAATCAGAAGATGTTAGTTTGATGTTTGTTTTCATATCTGAGGTGATGTCCATCATGTCTGAATGCCCGCTCTCACACCTGTTTTATGCGTCAGACCTGAGGAATGAAGTCAAATATTTGTTAAAACTGCTCCTAAATCAGAGTCAACCAAAAAAAAAAGAGAAAATCCGGTTGGTCTTTTTCTGCTTTAACAGCTTTTTCTTCTTTCTTTCTCTCTTTCAACTGAAAATAGTTAAATTATTAAATAATCCATTTATAATCTGCTGCTGGGTTTTGGATTTGTTTGTTTGTTTGTTTGTTTTTTCACAGAAAAATATGTAAAATTTTACTTCAGGACAAAAAGCGGGAAGGTAAACTCTGAGACTCGTGAAGGGAAAATGTTTTAAAATAAAACAGGAAGTGACACGTGACCAATCAGAGGGAGTTAGATCATCTGAAATCTGTTTTAAAGGAATATAAAAACATTTCAGAAAGGAAGTCGGTTAAAAACGTGTCATTTAAACCAAAACTTTGCTGCTCTAAATAGAAACGACGTTGATTCACTTCTGCTTCTCCTTGTTTTTCATTTTTTTCTGGTTCATTTATTTCATCTGGAAACAAACGTCACTGGAAGGAGAAATGAACGAGTCTCTGAAACTTCTGAAGGGCAGATCCCGAGTCAGAAACAGGAAGTAATTTGTGAAGTTGGTATCCTGAATCATACTTTTGTTCTCAGCTTCTGCAGATTTTATTGTTGCTATTAAACATTTTACCAAACGGATTTTGTGTTTAGTTTTGTGAAAGGTCCAATGTTCATGCAGATGGATTATTTCTATCACAGGTGTCCCACAAGGCCGAGTCCTTGGGTCTCTGTTTTTTGGCATAAACACAGACACTTGCAGGTCCTCCGACGTCCAGTCAGGTTCCAGCTGTCCTTGTTGAGGACCTCGGTTCAAAGCTCTTCATGAAGGTCTTCCTTTGGGACGTTTCTCATCTGTGGATGTTTATCAATTCAATGTGCCGTAAAAACATGACAGTTAAGGCAAGCTAGTTCACAAAGATAACCCCAAGTCCTCCCTCCTAAGGGTCTTTGTTGTCCTGGTCTACAGGAGAAATGTTTGGAGGTGTGGATCTGTCTAGAGATCAGACTCAGAGCTGAACTGAAGGTTCTGGAGAATCTCAGGAGGATCCCAGACCTCCTTGGACCTCTCACAGGTCTGGATTAAAACAGTTTAACACAAAGTCTCACAGATATGTTCCGTTCTGGTGACTGTGGAGATCTTTGGGATTGGGTTTTTCCTGTCCAGAATCCCTCTGTGACCTTCTGCCATCAGCGAGTCTGGGTCACGTACCTGCAGCGAGTCACACCTGAACAAGCAGCAGCTGTTTATTTAAAGCTCAGGTGAACCGAGTCCTGCAGACACTTTCTGTTGGATGTTTACAGGCTGAGCTGTTTACACAAGAAAACAAGAAGCTGCTCGACTCGTTTGTCTGCAGCCGATTCTTCAAGACCTTTCCAGTTTCATCTGGACCATCCAGACTAAATAGACTTTAAAAAAAGTTTCTGTGAGTTTCCTGTTCCACAGTTAACTCTGTTTAAGACGCTCCCAAACCAAAACACTCCCAAACCCAAACGCTCCCAAACTCAGACGCTCCCTAACTCAGACGCTCCCTAACTCAGACGCTCCCTAATTCAGACGCTCGCTAACTCAGACACACGCTAACTCAGACGCTCCCTAACTCAGACGCTCCCTAATTCAGACGCTCGCTAACTCAGACACACGCTAACTCAGACGCTCGCTAACTCAGACGCTCCCTAACTCAGACGCTCCCTAATTCAGACGCTCGCTAACTCAGACACTCGCTAACTCAGACGCTCGCTAACTCAGACACTCGCTAACTCAGATGCTCGCTAACTCCGGCGCTCCCTATCTCAGATGCTCCCTAACTCAGACGCTCGCTAACTCAGACGCTTGCTAACTCAGATGCTCGCTAACTCCGGCGCTCCCTAACTCAGACACTCCCTAACTCAGACACTCGCTAACTCAGACACTCGCTAACTCAGATGCTCGCTGACTCAGACGCTCCCTAACTCAGAGACGTTTGTCGTTAATTTTTCAGGTTAATTAAAAAACAGAACCGGCTAAAAAAAATTTCTCTCCATCTTTCTGAAGAGAATCAATAACAGACTGCTGGTGACGGTCCTTAGACATGCAGGTCAAGGTAATCCAAATGGTTCAAATGAAGGCAACTGTCTGTAGAGGATTCTGAAGACGTCTGGATATTTGTGGTGTTGGTGTCGGGATTCCTGCTGTTTGGCCTGAGCTTACTGGAAAATTAATGAGCTTTCAAGGAATACTGGCTCAATCCCGGAGCTCAGGGATGGATTACACCGCGCTGTGAATGCACAAACTCATATAATTGTCGAGATGAGTCGTAAGCTTGGAACTTTGGCTGAGATGCAGGCTCTGGCACAGAAGGTGGATTCGATCAAGGAGAGAGTTGACGGGACAGCACGGTTGGGAATAGATTAATTTATTCCATTATTGGATTGAGAGGGGTTGGAGACCAACAGAACTTTAAGACAGAGAGGAAATTATCTCTGTCTGCCCCCAAAACAAGTTCTTATCTGAATCTGGTGCCCTTGAGCCTGTGAGGCTGAAGTGATTACCCCCCCTCAGAAGAAATGTGGAATGCTGTCGTTGCCTTGGCAACTCTGTGTCCCTATCCCAGCCTGGGCGGGACTGCGACCGGTGAAGGCCGTGGAACCGTTTCCAGGAGTCACTGTGCTTTCTAACCCAATTACCTCCCTCCCCTGTCCAAACGGAGGTGACGAGCGCTGCTCATCGTGGCTGCATGCACTGATGTGAGGAGAGTTCCCAACCCTACCTCCCCACCTAGTGGACACTTATGTTGTGTAATGTCTGAAGTCTGCGTGCATTTCTTTCTGATTTGTTTTTTGCAGAGCAAAGCTGCCCTCCCTGTGGAGGGTAACTCTGAAGTGCCTTGTTTTCCCTCCACCTGAACCAATCCTCATGTAAACCCTCTGATCTCTATTAAGGTAGCGCGACTCGGGTTGCGAATGACCACAGTCACCAAT